TTCCACCTGGCCTGCCGCAGGGCGTCGCAGGGTGGAGGGAGGAGGAGGAGAGGAGGAGGAGCAGGAAGGAGAGAGAGAGAGAGAGAGAGAGAGAGGAGGGGGAGAGGAGGAGGGGGAGGAGGAAGGAGAGAGCGAGGAGGGAGGAGGGAGAGGAGGGAGGAGGAGGGGGAGGAGGGAGGAGGAGGAAGGAGAGAGGCAGGAAAGAGAGGAGGAGAACGAGGAGCAGGAGAAGGAAGAGGGGCAGGAGCAGAATCAGGAGGAAGACGAGGAGGAGGAGTGAGGAGGAGGAGGAGGAGGAGGAGGAGGAGGAGGATGAGGGGCAACGTTGGGAGGGGGTTGAGCTGAGGGGTAAGGGATGCCTCGGCCCCACTCGTCGCCGACACGGGCCCGATAGCCTGCCTCGCCGAGGAACGTGCAGATTTGCTATCGGGGGCATCTCGCCCATCGATCGGCGCCCTGGAAACGACAGGGCCGTATTGTGTTACCGGTTCCGTTTTGCCGTTGTTTTGCCGGTTCCGTCGCCGTTCTTCTACGGGTTCCCGCTCCAGTTCCAATCCTGGAGCCGTTTTTGTTGCCGTTTCCGGTCGCCGTTTTTTTGCCGTTTCCATTTTCAAGGGCCTTTTTTTCGGAAGCGGTAACAAAAACGGCCCTGCCGATTCCGGGGCCCACTAAGGCCATTCCTATGGGGGCGAAGAATGACATAAACATAAAAACTCTGAGGTCCGCGCAAATTTCGCGGATCCGCGCTGGACCCCCCTGGCGGCGCCTCCGGCGCCGCCCCTGGCGCGCTCAGGGGGTCCTTCGCGGATCCGAGAAATCCGCGCGGACCTCTGAGTTGTTATGTTTATGTCATTGCTCGTTCCCCTAATTCCCCCTCTGGCTTCCCCCTGTCAAGAGGAAACCCGAGATTCGGATACTCTCGTTGGCGCTCGCGGGATTTTTACAGCCTCGGGGTGCTGCCCAGGAGCTTCGCCCGGCTGGGATCGTTTGGGGAGGGGTGTCCTGAAAAATGTTGTGAGAAATGTCGGCGAAAGAAAACTGTCGAGGAACATGTCGTGAACCATGCTTTGGGTAAAAGCCATACTGAGGTGACTCTTGGGATTGGCATAGTTTAGCAATGATAGCTATCATTTAGCGAATATATATATATATATATATATATATCGAGACGGATAACATCATCAGGATATCTATGTAGCAGAGGATATATATATAGAGAGAGAGAGAGAAAACAAATGTATGTGCTAAGTTCGAACGTGCCATTTTCATACACCGTATATAAATATAAATGTGCATACATATGTACACATTTCAGACATGTACACATACATACGTCAACATAGACATGTACACACATGTGCACGCGCCCGCACATACATATATAAGTATATGCACATGTGCATGCATCACACACATACACACGCGCACACACAAACACACACATACACAAACACACACGCACACACATACGCACCCACACACACACACGTGCACACGTGTATACACGCATATTATAACGCAAGGCAAACCCCAAAGCCATCTCCTGGGCAATGCGATGCTTCGCTATGCATTGCAGATGCGTTATGCCATGCTGCGTTATGCTATGCTGCTGTATGCCAATGTGCATGCCTTGTGATATGTTGTACCGTGCTGCCACGCTGCGCTATGCTATGCGTATGCTGCGTTATGCCATGCTCCGCCATGCCACGGCCGCGCGCCGCCCAACCGTGGGGTTCGCGAGGCGCGCGCGCCCCGCCCCGCCGCGCGGCGCCGTGGCGAGCGGGGGGCATGTCCCCCGCGCATCCTGCAGGCCGACCCCCGCGGTGAGCCTGCAGACATTGAAGGTGGCGCCCAAAGGCGCCGCCCTTTCAGCCGCCGCCGGGCAAAGCGCCAGCGGCGGCGCCCGCGCAGGCGCCCACGGCGCCGCCCTTCCAGCCTCCGCCCAAGGCGGTTGGATGTGCGCCTTCCAGGGAGCCGCCTTGCAAGGCGGCGTGCTTGCAGGTGCGCGCGCGGCCGAAGGCGGAGGCGCCTGCTGGCTCGCCGCCAGCCGCGCCGATCGATGCGCCGCTCGATGGCGCGGCGGGCGCCGCCGCCAGCGCGGCCGAGCTCGTGGCCGAGCCCCGCCGCGTTCCGCTGCGCGTGGGGGACGAGGCGGCCGCGGCCGAGCTCCGTCATGTCGGCGGGCTCGCGCCTGCAGGCGTGCAGATGGCGGCGGGGCGGTACTGCGAGGGGGCGTTGTTCGGCGGCACGGAGCTGTGGCCGTGGGCCCCCCCTCCCCCCCCCGAGCCGCCCCAGCCAACCTCCTGGGCGGTTCCAGAGGGGGCGCGCGTTGGCGGGCGCTTGGCGGAGCCGTTGGCACGCGTCCCCTCCGCGTTGGCCGCCAGCTGGCGGGCCTTCGAGGCCTTGCAGGCGGCGGCCTCGCACGCGACGGCGACGACGACGATGACGACGAGGTGGAGGAGGAGGAAGAGGAGGAGGAGGAGGAGGAGGAGGAGGAGGAGGATGGGGAGGGGGAGGGGGAGGAGGATGAGAGGAGGAGGAGGAGGAGGAGGAGGAGGAGGAGGAGGAGGAGGAGGAGGAAGATGAGGCCTGGTCTCAGCCCTGTGGCGCCTTGGTATCAGCCCATCTGGCTTTGATCTCAGGCCTTTGGGATGTTGGTCTCAACCCTTTAGGGCTTTGACAGGGCTTTGGTATAGAGCAGCCCTTTATAGGGCTTTGGCATCAGCCCTTTAAGGCTTTGGTCTCAGCCCTTCAGGGCGTCGCGTCCCCTGCCGCGCTGACCGCCGACTGGTGGGCCTTCGACGCCTGGCAGGCGGTAGCCTGGCACGCGACGGCGACGACGACGACGAGGAGGAGGAGGAAGAGGAGGAGGTGGAGGAGGAGGGGGAGGAGGGGGAGGAGGAGGAGGAGGAAAAGGAGGAAGAGGACGATGAGGCTTGGTCTCAGCCCTGTAGGGTTTTGGTCTCAGCCCATATGGAATTGGTCTCAGCCCTTTGGGGTTTTGGTCTCAGTCCTTTTGGGTTTTGGTCTTAGCCCTTCTGGGCTTTGGTCTTGAGCAGCCCTGCAGGGCTTCGGTCGCAGCCCCTGGTCTCAGTTCTTTAGGGCTTTGGTTTCAGCACTTCAGGACATTGGTGCAGATCAGCCCTTTATGGCTTTGGTCTCAATCCTCGCCTGCATCGCTCTCGTCGTGCTCAGCGCCCTCATCGCGCGCATCGCGCACATCGCCCTCGTCGCACTCGTCGCCCTCATCGCCACCATCGCCCTCGTCGTCCGCATCGTCCTCATCGCCCTCGTCGCCATTGCCGTCTTATTCGCCATCCTCGTCAACATCGCCCTCATCGTCACCATCGCCTTCGTCGTAATCGTCATCCTCATCGCCCTCGTCGCCCTCATCGCCCTCGTCGCTCGCGTCGTCCGCATCGTCATCATTTGTCTGTTGTCGTCGTCATCATCGCCCTCATCGTCACCATCGCTTTTGATAGATGACCCCCAATATGGCCCCACGAGGGTTTCGGGCGCGTGCGCGCCTCCACTTTCAACCTTTGCCTATGCGCCCGATACCGTAGCTGAACCACTGCGGCAACCTACCGACTGTACACCCTCACTTTTAACACAACGGTTTCCAACCGTCACTTTTGACATTAAGCCGATAATTTCCGAGGGCGGCAACTTCTCAACCCCAAATATTGCTCGTGGGCCCAGGGCCCCCAAGAGGCCCCCCAAACACACGCAAACATAAGACCCCAATGGGTCCCGGGCGAATGACAACGGCAGCTTCGCTCAGGACGTCCTCAGGAACATCGGGTTCGGAGCGAACTCTGAAATGACGTTGTCTTGGGGTCGCCTCAGGGGGCGCCCCAGATTGCGCCGAGAGCGCCCATGTCATGTGGAGGTCTCGCGCGCAGCGCTGCATATTCTTTTTTCGGGAGAGACATAGGCCACGCGAACTCAAGCGGCATCATCGCGCCCGCAGTCCCATCTGGATACACGCAATACTCCACAGCAACCATTATGGTTTTTGTTCCCCGACACTCCGCGATAGAATGGGCCACCTTCCACGTTGCCAGCGCAGTCCCAGGCGCGCGCGCATGGAGCTCGAACGGCCGCGCAATCGACGCGCTTTTGCCGCCGACCTCGCAATTCACTTGCACGCGGGCGTCCGCGATGCCAGGGCCGCCCCGCAACGGCACAACGTCGTTTCGACTGCATAAGCCGAGCTCGCTGAAAGGAGTGTCTTTCGCAATCAGAACGGTGGCGTCATCGTCGTTTAGCCGCAAGGTTTCGATTATCAAGGCCCTATTTTATTGGTGTGGCCCTGCGGCCCTGAATTCAACCTGCGTCGCAGTTAAAACTGCGACCGCCCATCGAGGCCAGATGATGGGCCACGCATTCTGAGGGCAAAGACTTGCTGGCTGAGCCCGAAATGTTTGCAAATTCCGTCGCGTGCCGCTTGGGCGCTCGGTGCTTCCGCTCCAGCGCGAGGCAGTTCAACCGTCGACCGTTCGTCTCAAGCGTTTCGGGAAGGTGCAGGAGCCAATGGCACTTCGGCGTTAGCCATTCAAATCCAAACGCGTTCGCAAACGCATCTAGGAATTTACGCGCAGCGCCCAAAAGCCGCGACGGGCGCGCATGAATTCTCGGGGTTGCCACCGCAAGCTGAGACATCTGAAGGCAGGATACCAGTGCGTCGCACGCAGCGTCGCCCGCTCCAGTTGCACGCACAACTGTCTGCGTGCACAACATGAGCGCGCCCAATGTAGCCAGCAATCCGGATGCCTGGCACTCGATGCGGTTCGCGGCCCCGTGTGTGTCGCGCCTCTGCGCCGAGAAGATATCTGGCACATGGCGAGTGTGGAATATTCCGGGAAATCTCCGATTGCCCCGACTCGCATGCCCCAGCGCGGCCTGTATTGATACATTCTTCGAAGCGCAAGCACATGGCAAGGTTGACAGCTCCGCTCACAAACAACGCATGCATGTAATCGTGCATGTATATTGGC